ATCAAAATGTTGGTATTGTTGAATCGTTTACATAAAACATCCCATGCAGTTTTATAATTATTGGCAGAAAACTCGATCGATTTTATTACTTGCGCAGCTGTACCATCCAAGGACGCTCTAAGGTAATGGAATTTTTGAATATCCGAAATATTGGCGTTTTCATGAATCAGCGATACGTAAACTTCTCTATATTCAATCCATTGATCAAAATCGCCTTTAAAAGTAGGTAATTTGATTTCCGGTAGCTTTACTGACGTAGGTATCACGTGACCGCTTGAATAATTCGAACCGTTTTCGGGATTCGCGTTACATGGTTTATTTACTGAATTACTGATTTGTGGAGAACCGCTTCTTAACAAACAACGTGCATGACTCAATAACTCGTAATAAGTTTTTTCAAATTCCTCGCGTTCCAGATATTGATCGGTCGCATCTTCCTGCAAAACTTCTAATTGCGTTTGAATCTCATCGTATTCGTTATTTATAGCTTCGAATTTATTTAATCTTTCTATTAATTCCGCAATGGTTTTATCCGATGGCTGACCAGACGACTCAAACTTTTGTAAAAAATTCGAAAAATGCGTGACCTTTGATTTAAACGAACTTCGTTTTCTAATTAACGTTTTTTCGTCGTGTTGCGACATTTTTATAATCACGAAAGTGCAAATAGGAACGGAAAAACAAAGGAAAAAGGACGACTCACGTTTTATCTGCGATCAAACAGCACTCCGCCGCTGATAACCAGATCCCAGCCACCTGACGATATTGATTCTTCACCAATCTTCCTCTCATGCGGTTCGACTGGACCAAAATGTTTGGGTGTCTTCAAAAACACTAAATAAAAACTTGTGGACTGTATACAAACTGGAAACTTTATTGAGTAAAGAAATCAATACGTAATTAATTTAATCTTAAAACACAACTGTCTTCGCCAGTGGCCGAATTGCTACTCCTTTTCTAACGGTTCTTTCCACCCAAGTCGACCCTACGCGTCCCGCCGTCGCCCTAAACTCGACGCCAATGTCCATGTGGGCGATGAGATCATCACAACACAAAACTTTAACGTACAGGGTGTAAATAATTCCATTGTTGTAAGCGGGATGCCGATATCTCACTATCAATCTTCGCCAACTTCAGATCTCTAGCTAAGTCACTTCGTTCTTTCTGTAACATTTTATGGTGTATTATGGCATCATAGTCTAGATGACATATCTTCACTCTCCCCTTTACTCTGATCACTTTCACTGGATTGCATTAATCGGCCAGGAGGATTTGGTCTTCATAAAGTTTCGCTGTGCAGAATTATCTTGTTGGCTGATCTTACATTAGGATAAACCAAACTTTTCTTTGTTTTTCTTGTTTATGACGTCTAGGTTTATATTACAGAAATAGCAGTCGGAATGATCTGATATCTGTTACCATAACATTGGAAAACCAAACTGTAAATGAGTAGATTCACCCGCCATCCATCTATTCAAAGTCCATGGCTTGTCTAAATTGGTCAAAGCAAACCCAAAATAATGAAAATACTCCTGTTTTATAACAGTTGTTATTGGTCGTCCCGTCATCCCGATAATGTATTGTCCGCAAATAAAACAGAAAAAATCAGGATTGTTCTTGCATCCAAAACTTCTGCTGCTTCTAGCCATTATCAACAAAATTTTTACAACACTTTGTTATTTTCTTAAACGAAAGATCACTGAGGTGTTTCAAGAAGAACTAAATATTATAACAATATATTCTCGAATATATAGAAATGAGAATTTCTTTTGCAAAAAAAAGGTCTAACAGGTAAAAACGCGCGGGTTCTTAAAAACTTTTTCCAAGAATGTTATTGTTTGTTGTATTTCAAAAATACTAATATTGATAAAATAATATTGATTTCAGTGAATGTAATGTTTGTACTTAGTGTCTGGAAGAGTTAAAACAGTTAAAATGGCAAAAAATTAAATTTTGCACGATTCTCGTAAATTAACTATACCTATCTCCACTAAAATACGTTCCACCATGGTATTCAATGCTTCGATATTTAGAGAATTAGATGTTCTACGGCAGCGATTCCTAATTATATTTAACTATGGACTCCCTAAAATCGTTTGTGTTCGCCACGGACCCCTATACTAAATAAAAAAATTAAACTCCTGGACAAATTAATAAACCGTTCGTTTTATACATAAAGGATATATTTTGTTTTATATTTTAACTATTATCACAGGGTACAAAAATAAATAAATTTAAAGTGATCGATGAACTCGCATTTCTTTTGCAAGTTTCTCAAAATTTGGTTGTATCTTTTGCGATAGTTTAACGCGTAAATATTGTTCACAAAGATATGTGGTTGTAAAGGGTATTAAAATTTGCAAAGCTTTGTTCCCTAAATTCGGCGATTCATTGAAAACGTAAGCCCAGAAATCAGATAGGTTTTTTTTTGAAAGCCATTTGAAGGTGTCCATTGGTCACTAAGTCAATAAAATCTTCTTCCTTGACCTCCATATAATAAATTATAATAACGGTATATCTTTGATAATAAACGGATTGCGGAAGGATTCTTTGAAGGTGCTTCTTAGATTTACTAAATGACACATAATTAGTTGTGCTTCCTTATTTGGAAGTGTATTTTTAGACATGTTTAAAAATGTCGACAAGTTTTGAAATGATTCCACATTTCCGCGTTTGAGTCGATTCTCCCATAATTCCAGTTTCAAAATAGTTGCTATAATCTTGTCTTCTAGCTGGAAAAAATTTACATTTACACCATTACACCATTGAAATGTGTACAGATGTCGGATAAGTATGCCAGTTTGATAAGAAATGTAGGAATTATTTAAATTATCTGGGGAAAATTTATCAGAGCGATGGGATTGGAAACGTTGTTCTTCCATTAAGAATACATTGACTTCTTGACGTAATTTCCAAAGTTGACCCAATACTTTTCCCTTCGAAAGCCACCTTACATTTGTATGTATTAACAGTGCATAGTGATCGCTTCCCATTTCCTTGCATAATTGTGAAAAAAGCCGCGTATTCAGCACTCTACTTTTAATAAAATTTATTATTCTGATACACTCATGTAAGACCGCTTTTAATTCTGCAGGAATTCTTTTTGTAACCAACGCTTCTCTATGTATAGCACAATGGTACCACTGTACAGATGAAAATACTTGCTTTATTCTCGTCTTCACACCTGTTATTCTTCCGGACATAGCTTTAGCACCGTCTGTGCTTACACCAACACATTTCGCCCAATCGATTTTATTTTTATTGAAAAAAAATATTTAATTTTTCAAAAATTTCTTCTGCAGTGGTGTTAATTAAGAAATCTACAAAGAACAGGTCTTCAAGAACGGCATCGGCATCTTTATGCTTGTGTCTCACACAGCAGAATAAAACTGCCTGACTAGCTACGTCCGTTGCTTCATCCAATTGTATAGCAAACCAAGGTGATACACAAACTCTTTGTATTAATTGATCTTTTATATTTTCTGCTATATTTTGAATTCTTCTTTGCACTGTATTGTTTGACAACGAAATTTGTGTAATTTCTTTGGCAGTTTTATCGCCAATTATTGTAGACACCATAACTTTTGCTGCTGGTAATATGAAATCTTCAGCAATAGTATGAGCTTTACCGTTTTGAGCTATGAGTTGACATACTTTAAAGGAGGCCATTATGGCTGAATTGTTTGATGCTGGTATGGCAATGTGGGACACGCTTCTTTGAATGTTCTCTACTTGTTGTTTTTTCTTTTTAAAAAATCCGTGTTTTTTTGCTGAAACTCTGGGTGCTTTGTTTCAAAATAATGTCTAACTTAGCTGGTTTCGTAGAATCAGTTGCTAGAACCTGGCTGCAAATAACACGCTTTGGTCGTGTTTTGCCAGATTCCGAGGACAGAAATTCTGTAAAATTAAAGGATAAATATTCTGCGCTGTATTGACGGACCTACTTCTTGACAGAAAGAGTAGCCGAGTAATTTCGATTACGGAAAAAATAGTTTCGTTGTAACTACATTTTAATGTCGAAGGAGTCGAAACGTTTTCACCAGTGCCCTCGTTATCATGATTGCTTCTTGTATCACCTAAATAAGTACAGCCACTTACAACTTGATTCCCCGTTTTTTATAATTTCGGATCAATCAACGTTCCATTGCTCTATAAAGATAAATAATATTGCAATACTGCTTGCAGAAATTGCTTTCTGTAAAACTGACTTCAAAGTTTTATTACTGAACAGTTTTCGCACTAGTAATAACCGAAAATGTAATAAAAAATAACTAATGTTTTTGGTAGTAATTTTGACTCGAAAATAGAAGAAAACATTTTTTCAGGTCAGCTTTTGTTTTCGATATATTCGACAATTAGTAATTAAATTAATAAACAATAAAGCAGGTAATCTCAACGAAAAAAAACCGTTTGATAAAATTAAAAAGTCATTTCGATTTAAGAGGTTAAAAAATAATTCACTTTAATTATTTTTTTTAGTAAAGAAACAAGAAAAAGATTTTGGTAAAAAAGATAATTTTTTTACTAGAAATATCAGCTACTCTTTGTTTTAACACGTAATTGTTACCCAAAACCCAATTAGAAGAAAATCAAACAAAAGTGGATCTAAAAAAAACGTATTCTTTCATTTCGAGTTAAAACTGATTTTTCTACATGGAATTTGAGTAACGTTGTCTGTTGTTTCATTATTCTGTATAATAAAAAAGTAAAAATGTATTCGCCTTTGTAACATCTACTCACCAAATATTGCTTGAAGAAATGTCAATATTGAATTTGGTTACTTAATAATAATAATCTTTATTGTGTTGTAGACAAATCAAAAAATTACAACAACAAACGTCATTTTTAAGATTTCACATTGTAAAATCTAAATATTCAGCAACATTATAGGGTTCTACATAGATTAGAAAATTGAACAAATCCTGTTTAAACGTACTAATTCTGGTAATATGTTTTATCGAGTTAGGTAATTTATTATATAATTTTAGGGCCGCATAACCAGTTGAAGTTTCACTAGCAGCTAGGCGATGTCTTGGGTAGCAATAATCGCGCCTATTTCGAGTTTCGTAATGGTGATTAAATGAGTTTTGTGAAAAAAGACTTTTGTTATTAAACAGAAAAACTAAAATCTCATAAATATATATTGCAGACGCAGTTAACAACCTATTTTTCCTAAAATTGCCTCTACACGATTGTCCGTAACTTAAACCGAGCATGGTGCGTATTATTCTCTTCTGCAACACAAATACGCGACGTAATTCGCTGTTGCCTCCCCAGACTATGATACCAAACCGTATTTGCGAATAGCAACAACCGTAGTAGCATAAATGTATAACGCGATCATTCACCAACTTTTTCATTTGACGTAGAGCGTAGCAAAAACTGCTCAACTTTTTACAGAGTGCATCAATATGCGATTTCCATTTAAGAGTGTCGTCGATAACCACTCCAAGCAAACGTACCCGTTCTTCAGTTGTATATAAAAGATGATTGAAGGTTATAGTATTGGGATAAGAGCTATTTATAGTTTTAAACAGAATAACGTTAGTCTTGTCATGGTTTATAATGAAGTCGTTGGTGGTTAGCCAATTTTCAACAATATTTAACAATTCTGAACCACCAGTAACAATAGATTCAAATGTATCACCATATAATACTAAGCTGGTATCGTCAGCGTAGTTAATAGCGGAGAAGTTTGCATTTACGTGTTCGGTAGCACTGTGTATATCATTTATGTATATCAGGAACAAATAGGACCCAGTATACTGCCCTGCGGTACACCTCAAGACATAGTGGTCTCCCTTGAAATAATTGGAACGCCATTTTCCGTAATTCGCACATTTTGTTTTCTATTACATAGGTACGAAGCAAACCAGTCAAGAGCGATTCCCCTCATCCCACACGAGTCCAATTTCGAGATCAGTATTTTGTGATTAATCGTGTCGAACGCCTTCGATAAGTTCAGGAGTACACCGCAAGCCATATCTCCTCTCTCCAAAGCCTCATAACACGTCGCACGTGTACGTGAATAATGCAGTTTCCACACTTCTCCGTTTCAGAAAACCATGTTGGCGCTCGCTCAGTAATTTGTGCTTTTCTAAATAATTATACAGTCTATTGTAGACTACTTTTTCAAAGATCATAGAGAAGCCAGTTAGCAAACTGATTGGTCGGTAATTGGAAATATCGTTTGAATCGCCTTTCTTATATAGTGGTATAAGCATTGCCTTTTTTAGGTATTTAGGGAATATCCCGCACTGCAGAGATTGGTTGATTATGTATTGCCAACACACTTTGTATGGTATGCTCGAGCACATTGATTAATTGAACAGATAATTGTGTCATCATAACGCGAAACGTTTTGCGAACACACACTACACTTCGGCATGATGGCCGCCTTATTATTAATTTCTTCTTTAAACGATTTGTGCGAGTCTTCGCTAAGAACACGAACACTTATATATTTAAAAGAAGAAGTAGAAAGAAGAGTTAACTTATAACGACAAAGTAGTCGCTAAGAAACAAAATAGGAAACTTAAAAAATCCCCCAAATTGGTAATATTACCAACCTCCCACCCCAAAATGTCCTAGAAAACGTTACATATTTAGAAACAAGTAGAAAACAAGTAGAAACAAGCAGAAACAAGTTCGAAGTTTCGAACTTGTTTCTGAAGAAGGTTACAACATGGCATCCGAAACGTCAAACATTTTTTCAAAAAACGCACGGCTTAACCCGAAAGATTCTAGTTCTAGGTCTAGTGTTAGTTCTTGTGATAGTGCTAGTGTTAGTTCTAGTTTTAGTTTAATTAATATCGGCTGTGAAAGCCTTCGTACTTACGTTACATATTTCTTCTGAGAGTAATATTAATCTTTAATATAATCTATATATGCAATTAGTTCATTTCGTATAGTGTAGTTTAAATTTTTACTTTTTTGTAATTTATTTGCCTACATTATTTTTCACAAATGCTTTTGTTCATATGTAATTCTTTTTTATTACGGTGCGATTAAGTAAAAAAAAAAAGGGAAAGATGCCAAAAAATTTGATTTTGTTGAGTTGTTTTAGCCTGTAGCAAAATAACGAAGAGTCCTATTTATACCATCAATACCTCAAAATGTTCGTCTGGATATCTACTTTCATGTCCATATAGCTACAAAAACACACTATGCAAAATAAAAAATATCCTGAATATGAACCGTATACAGGCGATTCAAAAACCCGCTGACAGACTTCTAGAGTAGATAATACATGAAAAATTAAGATGAATAGTCTTGATATACATGGTGTCGCAAATGCCTCGTTGGCGAGATATACCGGATCAAAGTTTCTTTAAAATTAAACATTATCTGTAATAAAAAGCACTTTTTTTAAAGTATTGTCCACGCCATTGCTCTCTACGCGTGTAAAGTGATCAATTATCTATCAATTGGTCTCTTACAAAACTTTGATCAAAGCAATAGTTTTTAAGAAAAACACGTTTGTAGAAAATTTGTTAATTCAATTAAAAACTGTTGCTTTAATCAAAGTTTTATAAGAGACCAATTGATAGATAATTGATCACTTTACACGAAAATACTGCCCGTTTGACAGAATTACCAGTGGAGTTGAAAATATTTTTAAAAAAGGCCTTTTTTTGCAGATAATGTTTAATTTTAAAGAAACTTTGACCCGCTATATCTCGTTAAGGAGGCATTTGCGACCCCATGTATATTAACACTTTTCATGTTAATTTTTGGTGTATTGCCTGCCCTAGAAGTCTGTCAGCGGTTTTTTGAATCACCCTGTATATGTTTTTTAATTTGTGATTTTCCACATTTTTGGGAATATTTCGAAAACTGGAGGTGATGGATCAAAACTAAACACAGTTTCAGAATTAGCTTAACATTCTACGTTATAAAAAAATATAGCAGTCTCCATGGAAAAAATTGATTAAAATTTGTAAACTAACGTAATTATTTCATTTTTATTTTAGGTCCGAATCCAGTATCCAACATAGCACCTCTGGTTGATTCAAATAACGTTACTTTAGAATGGCCACGACCTGAAGGTCGTGTTGAACGATACATCGTAAAATGGAAGGAATCATCCCAAGATTGGAACGAGTCCGATATAAGAAACGTCACTCAAAATCAAGACGATAACGGCCCAGTTCGCTGTTTAGTTGGCAATTTAATGCCTGGCGTTGAATACACCTTTTACGTCCAATCAATTTCAAATAATTTAGAAAGTGATACAACTATTTTTAAAGCTAGGACAAGTAAGTATATAAATGAGAATTAATCAATTTTATTCCAAAAATTTTTTTATATTTTCTTATAGTGCCATTGATTCAATCTGAAGTTCTCTTTGTTAACGATCAACAATCAACGGATACTTTAAGTTTGAGATATACGCCAACTCCATTGACTCTATGCAAATTTGATCGTTATAAATTTTCTTTGTCCGATCCGACGGTTATGGATCAAGAAAAACTAGCCAATGATGCTGATAGATTGGTGACTTTCAGAAATTTAGTTCCAGGGAAATTGTACAATATTTCCGTTTGGACTGTGTCACATAATGTTTCTTCACAACCAGTTCAAAGACAAGATAGACTTTGTAAGTTCATTTCAATGTTAAAACACTATTCTCAATTAAAGAATCATTTGTAACAATGCTTTTTATTCTTGTTAAAGATCCTGAACCAATTACTGGTTTATACGCAATTTACATTGGTGATCACGAAGTTTGGCTGAATTGGAGTATCCCAATGGGTGAACACACAGATTTTGAAGTAACATATCTTACTCGTAAAGATGAAATAACACGACATATAACCTTATTTCCTCACATTAAAATAAACCATTTAAGACCTCACAAAAATTACACATTCACTGTGATTGTGCGTAGTGGAACAGAGTCGAGTATTCTCCGCACTTCAAACCCCGTTTCAAGAACGTTTACCACCGAAGAAGCAGCACCAGGAAAGGTGGCGTCGTTCGGTCCGATTGATGTCCAACCCTCAGAAATTACATTCAAATGGAATATATCACCAACAGAACAAAACGGAGTTATTCGTCGATTTACGATAACTTATGGGTTAGAGGGATCTTCGCACACGCAAACAAGAGATTTTTCTCCGAATGAATTTACAGGAAAAATTAAACAATTAATTCCTGGACATACGTATATATTTACAATTCAAGCGGAAACTAAGGTCGGATATGGGGCAAATTCTACTTTTACCCAAATAATGCCGATTTTAGCACCACCTCTCAGTGTTCAAGTCGTTCCAACTGAAGTTTGGAAAAGTTCGGCTGCTATTCAAATTCGATTTAGGAAAAATTATTTCAGCGATCAAAATGGACCGGTAAATATATTTCATTTTCAATAAAATACTTTTAATTATTATTATTTAATCTTAAAACGAAAAAATGTAAATATGAATCCCGTCTGTGGTTCATTGACTGAGGTGAATATTGAGTTTTAACGGCAATGGGGTCGTTACTTTCAATCGAATAGAAAAAAGTTGATAAACTATGTAAAAATAGAAGGATTAGTAACATTTTCAGATCATAAAATTGTTTACTTTTTGCGATAATTAATTTTAATATTCAAAATATCCTCTACAAAAGCTTTAGTGACGTTTACGAAGTTTTCGCGTAAGATCAAGAAGACACAAACGTGCATCTTTCGGATCTCTTCTTCTAGCACATAAGATTCTTGTGGCATCTCGCTCATACACCTCTTATTGATTTTTATTTCAACCAACCGCGTGCGAAACGACGGTGACGTCTCCAAAGTTTTTTAAATTTTTATTTATTTATTATTTTTTTTGGAAAAACTAAACCCGTTTGAAAAATAAAAAATTATAGAAGTCTTCAATTTTGCTAAACTATCAAATAAGACAATTTCCCCATTCTTATATAAACGTTTTATAAAAAAGAATTTCTTAAAAATGTTTTATATCTCAGAATAAGTGATCCCAATGAAAAGATAGTATAAAATATTTAACATTAAAAATATTGTATAGCGAAATGTGAGACAGTTTGAGAAATTTCTCAGAGCATATTCTTTTCCAACTGCACGCGCTGTTGGAATAATGTTTTTTAACATGATGGAGCTACATATTATCTTACGAAATTTTGCATAGTTATTTTCCTAATAAATGGTTTAGGAAGGGTTGGACCAATACCAGAAATAAATGATGATAATTCACTTCAGTTGCCAGGAATTTTTACGTTACTAAGCTGTGTTATCGAAACTTAGTTAATTTATTATGAGTTAATTAGGAAAAATTAAAAAATAGTTTTTACTTCAATTTGGCATATTACATTATTTGACTCGAATCGATATTGTAAGTGCAATCATTTGCACCCCAAAGAGATTTGTTAATGAAATCTGTTAATAACATTTGCTTCTGATTTATTGTTATTTCTTTATAGACCTCATCCTATTGAGCCAAGCAATGATCAATAGTCTTCTAGTTTTGTTCTCAGAGGCGGCGCCAGAGGTTCGGCCGCTACAGGCGAAAAATGGATTTGGCCGCCCTTCCCTAATTAAAAATTTAGTAAAGTTGCAAATTGCAGACTAACAAATATAAATTTTTTAAAAATGTATTAAAATTCTTTTTGGATTTTCAAAGCGATGTAAAGATTTGGACACAACAATTAAATAGTTAAATAATAAAATAACTTCTACTTGCTTTATTTAAATATACAGTCGTACATGTTTCGGGAATTACATTCCCATCTTCAGCGTCAGGAACTGTAAGAAAGATTTCAATCCAAATAGAACAATTAAAAAACATTAGTTTTCTGAAGGAAAAACCAAGTCATGTTAATATGAATTTAATAAACTTTAAAAGCCGTCATAAATCACGTCAATCTATAAAAGGTACAATTAACAAATCAAGTTTTAAATCATAAATATTAAAACAATAAAATTGATTTGTTCTTTGGAGGAGATTTGAAAATAGTGTCTTTCAAATCTCCTCCAAAGTGTCTTACAAAGCCTTTTAAAGTTCATTAAATTCTGATGTTCATTTTAACATGACTTGGTTTTTCCTTCATAAAACTAATGCTTTTTATTGTTCTATTTGAATTGAAATCTTTCTAACAGTTCCTGACGCTTGTCGCTGAAGATGGGAATGTAATTCCTGAAACATCTACGACTGTATATTTAAATAAAGCAAGTAGAAGTTATTTTATTATTTATTCATTAACTTGTAACATGGATTCCAATATATAATTAAATTGTTATTTAAAATATATTTCAAAACTTCATAAGGTGTATCACCTGAGTTTAAAAGTTTTGAAATAATACGTCCTCTTCTTCCCAATTTCTTAGGTCGGCAAGATTGTGCAAAAATCCGAAGTGCACAAACCGTACACTTTGGGCTTTGTAGTAGAAGATTTACTCTGTTAACATCTAAAAGTACATTGCATACATTATACTATTTATACCAAATTATTGTAATGCATATGACCTGATAATTTAACTTCTCTAATATATTGCTATATCTTTAGTATTATTTCCATGAGAACCCAGCAAAAACGTGTCTTCTACAATACCAAAAAGTGGCGGGACAAAAATCTAACGGGCCTGATCGCATTTATTGTACTTTCCCATCTCGTAGAACATACCGGTTTTAATGTTAAATTAGTCAGATGTTTGGCAAGAATAGACCATATATAAGTGAATGCAGAAAAAAATTATACCAGCTTTGTATTATTCCAAAAAAATTGACCATTTGTATATTTGATTCTGCAGCATCATTTAAAACAAGATTAGTAGAGTGACAGAAGCAAGTAACAAATAACGCTCTCGGATTTATATTTGAAATATGTTTTTGTAGTCCGTTATTCTTACCTTTCATAATGGCTCCACTGTCGTAGCCCTGTCCTCTACAATTGTAAATGTCTAAACCTAGTACTTTTATGGTGTCTAAAAATATAGATGCCAGATTTTCCTCTAAATGGCAAATTTAATTCAGTTAGTGTAAGAATAACGTCTGATAGTCGTGATTAATATCAGTTTCTTATGCCTGAGAGGAACGTGGTTTCGGCCGCCCCTAATTTTGGCCGCATAGGCCGCCTGCTTCGCTTGTACGTGGAGCCGCCACTGTTTGTTCTTATGCACTGTACTCTCTTTTTATGCACAACTCACTACACAATATCAGATGGTTTACAGTCGGTACGATATTTGTTGAGCTAACATTCCCAGAAAGGAAAAAATTAATAACGTTCTATTCTCTGAAAGCAACGGTTATTCACGGCTTGATATTTGCAAGCAGTGGCGTAGGTACCTTTAAATTTTCCACGTTATTTCTCGAATATTTTTTGCGTCCATCTTTTATTGGATTAACCGACCCACAGCTACTAATCTGATAAATGTTAAAAGTCGTTCTCACTAGAGGTTTCACTATCAGAAGTTGTAATAATTAAACTTTCTGTTGCCTCATCAATTCGAACCTCGTTTCTTTCGTTTTTTTTTTTTCAAAAATTCGATTTTATCATATTTAATAATATCATACAGCTATGACTTACGCAAATTCGGCGGATAAGGTATATTTTTACTTAGCAATCAGTCTACCATATCTGCCTTTGTTGAATTGCAAGTACGTGCTTTATGTACTTGTATATTATGATAGGGTGCATTGTCACTTACGTACGACAACACATTTTAGTGGAAGATTTCGAATTAGCTTCTTTGTAAACCACTTCTCGTAATTTTGCGAGTTCATCTTGTTATGGTAGTCTCCGCTTATGGTTCCAGATTTAAAAATCAAGAGACTGTTAGGTATGAAACCGTTTCACCACCGGCGTGAACAATAACTAATCGATTGCCTTTAGATATGGGTGATAGTAAACCATTAGTGCTATTGTGTGTCCAACTATTGACCTGCGTGAATGTAAGATTCATCTAAAAAGATAATAGGTCTACCTTGGCTCCTATAATATTTAATTTTATCCAAATAATTCAACCTTAAAGCGCGAATATCATTATTCTCTATTAGCAACCGCCGATTGTTCTTAGTTTTCCTCCACTTAAATCCAAGGTTTTTAATAATTGTCTGCAGAAAAGTCATATTGCGCACTTAATTTTCGTTGTACTTGTGTCAAAGTAACGCGACATCTTTCAGTTTTGTGGAAATTATATGTTTCTAATATCTATTTGTTCCCATTCCGGTATGTTGGTATTCGTGCACATTATCTTACGTTTTTATCTTATCTGGTACCAAGCCTATCAAGAAGTCATTCTTCAGTAGTCTTGATTCCGTAATGACATAGTTGCTGCCACATACCATGCATATATTCAAAATTTGAACAGGTGAAAAATCTGAATTTGAACAAGTGTTACCCTGATCTGTTATTAATCAGGAATGATCAGGAATACATTTTGTATTTGCGGTATTCGGTATATGTCAAAACTGACTGGGTGGATTTCAACGGGATTTTAAATAAGGTTTAATAGTTTAATAGTAATTAGTTTTCTTTTGAACTGTCAATCGTCCAGAAAAGAATGTTGGGTCAGGTTAGTTTTGTTTATCAAGATTTCAAATAAATAATGAAAAATGTTATGAACGTTGCGCAAAGCCAGGTAAATTTTCAACAACAACGATAATAGGTTCTTTCTTTTCAAGCCTATCGTAACTACTATAGGTAGATGGTCGCCTAATTAGTTTCAATTGCAGAAAATCAAGATATATATAGGTCACTCATTATTTAAAAGTTACTTCGAGCTACATGATGACACGTTACATTTCATTCAGTCCACTAATTTCAGTCGAAAATCGAACTTCTAACACAATGTGAAAATTTTTTTTTATAATTATTGTCATTGACGGGCAACCTTAATGACTTAAAGCAACATGAAGTTGGGTTCATTGTATTAAGCCGCAATTGATATTAGTGCGCGCCCCGGCTCAATTATCGAAAATCGGTATCTTTCTGATAATTAAGCTGAGGTCGCTTGCGGCCGTGGCTCTGCGATCTGTTAATCTGATACATAAGTTTCCGTGATATGTATTTTTTATGCTAAAATATTTGGGTTGATAAAAAATATAAATCGATGTGTTTTGACTCATAACGATATCTCGAACCTTTTTCAAATTAAACAGGAGGGGGTTACTTTTGACGCGGACTTATACAGGGTCATCCACGACGACCGTCCATTAGAACTATATAGAGAACCAAATGAAGTACGCGTTTGAAAATGTACGGATTTATGATGTTTGATGCGAGCTTTTTAACTAAAATATTTTCAGGTTCCGGGTACTTGTGGTTACACCGAAAATGCTGACAATTTTCATATTTCAAATGGAACACCCTGTATTTTATTACATTTTGTAAATCTTTTTCAATTTTAGGTCATTTGCATGTTACATATCCTATACCTAAGATGAGTCATTTTTGAGATATTAATTTTTTTTAATAAAAAATGTCAGCTGCAACGTTACTTTCAATAATTTATAAATCATCTACTTTGACCGCCGGAAAGACAAAATTTGTGTTGGGAATGTTGTGTTGGTTATGTATTATCAGAGGATCAGTAAGTTTCTTCGAAATGCTATACAGGGTCTTCAAATTATAATATCAAAGTTGAACTTAAAAAAAGCCCTAAAAGTCAATTTTCCCTAACCATATGAATTAATTTTTAAATGCGGTTCTAATGGATGGTCGTCGTGGATGACTCTGTATATTATTATGTATACGTATATATTATTATTTTACCTACACAAAAATGTAAAGACGCGACGTCCGGTCTATACAGCGTGTCCGGTATCTTCCGCATCAGAGCATTATACGGTTATTCACATTGTTCTGAAGCGATCTTTCTAATAAAAATTTTTCGAAATGTTTATAATAACCGGAACTGTTTAAACGAACTGTTTTTCGTCCAATCAGTAGATCGCAAATCAGACTCAGGTAATCGGTGACACCCTCGGCCGGTCCGCTACGCCGATGATAACTTGTTTCGCACGCGTACTCAACAATAAATTCGTCACGCTAAGAGAAACAAACTTTTTCGGTGAATCAAAGTCGTCCGTTATTGGTCGTCGTTAAACAGTTCCCGTGCGGTTATTATAAACATTTCGAAAACATATTAGAAAGATCGCTTCAGAATAATGTATCCTACAACCGTATAATGCTCTGATGCGGAAGATACCGGACACCTGTATAGAACACACCAGCATCTTCTTTTTCGATTAGACGAAATCCATCTCTCCCCGCATGGTTTATTTCTGTTTCTTTTTAATTTATAATTTACGTAAATCACTCTCTAAATCTTCTTGATTAAATAGAGTAGAAGTATTTTTGATTTTCAAGATTTGTTTTTTATATGTATTATAAATTTGTATATATTAAATGCAAGAAATTTGAACACCCTTTTTATTTATATTTAGGTTACAACTTATACAATAATTGTGGCTGAAGATGATACGAAAAACGCGTCCGGTCTTGAAATGCCTTCATGGCGGGATGTTCAAGCATATTACGTTTGGCCTCCGTATCAAGTTATAGAGCCGTATTATCCATTCCATAATTCCAGCGTTGAGGACTTCACGATTGGTTCGGAAAGTTGCGATATTCGCCAACAAGTCTATTGTAATGGACCACTTAAATCTGGGGCTACTTACAGGGTTAAAATACGAGCGTTCACAGCCCCTGATAAATTTACCGACACAAGTTATAGTTTTCCGATAAGAACAGGTACATTTATCATTTTTTTTCTTTGATAATTCCATAATTTAAAAAATTAAATAAGTTTTTTAAACATTTTTTGGGCTAACATAGAAGTTTTGTGGTTGAGTATTTATAAGTATGTTACAAAACGTTAAAGTTTATACAAAAAAATCTTTTGCAGATCAAGATAATACCCCAATCATTCTCGGAATCGTCATTCCAATAATTTTAATCGCGTTACTTTTTATAACAATAATAATAATTCGTCGACGCAGATCTGCAGGCAGAAAAGCAACGGAATCCCATCCGAACGATAGCATGTCACTTCCTGATTCAATAATTGAAACAAATCGTCCAATAAGAATCGAAAATTTCTCGAATCACTATCGAGTAATGTCGGCGGATTCCGATTTCCGATTTAGCGAAGAATTCGAAGAATTAAAACACGTTGGGCGAGAACAACCCTGTACAGCGGCCGATTTACCTTGTAATCGTCCTAAAAATCGTTTCACAAACATTTTACCATACGATCATTCGAGGTTTAAACTACAACCAGTTGATGACGAAGAAGGTTCTGATTATATAAACGCTAATTATGTTCCCGGACATAATTCTCCCAGAGAATTTATTGTAACGCAAGGACCGCTTCATTCGACGAGAGACGATTTTTGGAGAATGTGTTGGGAATCGAATTCTAGGGCAATTATTATGTTGACGCGATGTATTGAAAAGGGACGGGAAAAATGCGATCATTATTGGCCCTATGATACAATGCCAGTTTACTATGGAGATATTTCAGTACAAATCTTAAATGAAACAAGGTATCCAGATTGGAATGTTTCGGAATTTATGGTTTGTAGGGTAAGCAATAAAAAAAGTTTCATTAATAGTTGTTAAAAAAGAATAGATTTTCCTTTTTTTTATAATCTTAACCTCATGTTTTAGAAAACCTTTTTTGTTTTAGGGTGATACTCAAAGAGTAATAAGACATTTCCATTTTACGACCTGGCCCGATTTTGGGGTTCCAAATCCACCTCATACACTCGTAAGATTTGTAAGAGCTTTTCGTGAAAAAGTCGGATCGGATCAACGACCCATTGTTGTTCATTGCAGGTGGGGTATATGTTTATAATTTTCCAACAAAAAAATATTAAAAATTTTAAAATATTTTTAGTGCTGGTGTTGGAAGATCAGGAACATTTATCTGTTTAGATCGAATTTTACAACAAATATTGGTGTCTGATTATGTTGATATATTCGGAATTGTGTATACAATGCGAAAAGAACGTGTTTGGATGGTTCAAACGGAACAACAGTACATCTGTATACATCAGTGTTTGTTGGCGGTTTTAGAAGGAAAGGAAGTGGGCGGAACGCCAAGGGAAATCCATGAAAATCAAGGTTTCGAGGGTAAGTACTTCATATTCTTTGCTTCTGCTTTTTTTTAAAGTTAGACCAAAAAACTTTTCGCTTTATTAATTTAATTTTTTTCTTACGTTTGCTGTTTTTTTGGTATTTTAAACTTCTGCCTCTGAAGTACACTGAATTTACGTTTTTATGGGTTCAGGTAAGGGTGGCGTAGGCAATCGCACAGTAGAACCTTCATTCCACGATGGGGTTGGGAGAGAAAAGGAGAGGTAGAATAAATCCTTTTTTTTTGGTAATTTATCTTTATTAATTCTTTCGTTTTGCTTGTTTTGTGTATGTATTAATTATGTTTTTGAGCATGTATTTAGTAGCCTTTATTTTTTTATCGCGTTGGAATGCTGCTTCTAAAATAACTTCTATTTAATACTAAATATACTGGGGCGTGTTATAAACAGAAATTAATTAAAAATAAATTTATTTAAACTTATTATTTATGTAAATAAATGCGAAGATATAAAATTGTAAAATTTGGTATTTTTAACTTTTTTATCATGAGAATGGAAATTTATTATGGTTCATTAGTGAGTTCTCATAAGGATGTTATTTATATTTTAATACCCAGTAACACTAGTTTACAAATTTTAATCAATTTTTTCTTCGAAGACTGCGATATTTTTTTCATCACGTCCAGTTTTCGAGATATCCCCAAAAATCTGGAAAATCGTAAATTAAAAAACATAGTAACGGTTCATGTTCAGTATATTTTTTATTTTACATAGTGCGTTTCTGTAGTTATATGATGCAGAAACGAAGTATCTACGACCGATACAAGTGAGCACCAAGTAAATGCGACTATTCAGGGTGTACGGTCCAGGTTTTAATTAACGAAACAACTTTTTAAAAAACTAATATAAATAACCGAAATATTAGCTTTTTGAAAAGTTGTTTCTTTAACTAAAACCTGGACCGTACAGCCCGAATAGCATTTACTTGTTGTAGCTATACGGACATCAAAGTAGAGATCAAGACGATCATTTTGAGGTATTGATGGCATAAATCGGACTCTCCGTTATTTTGCTACAGCCTAAAACAACTCAATAAAATCAAATTTTTTGGCATTTTTCTCATTTTTTTTCGGCCCGTAACAAAAAAGAATTATACAGGATGGTCCATTTAACGTGAGACAAGCGATTATCTCGAAAACATTTGGTTCAGAAGTTTTGAATTTATTTTTTTTGCCATTTTAATTTAACAAAATTTTTTTTTAATTGTCAACAGCAACAGTAGTTACTATGTTTTTTAATTTACGATTTTCCACATTTTTGGGAATATCTCGAAAACTGGACGTGATGGAGAACTGAAGAGCTATAAAAAAATATCACGATCTCCGAGATTTTTCTTGTAAACTAGTGTAATTATTGCCGAAGTGTCAGATTAGTAGCAAGAAATATTCCATGCGAAATTACGATTAACGTTTCCACGCTTCCTTCATGTGAAGAGATAACGGAAAAAAGTTGATTATGTTCGAGCTTTTTTTTACATTCAACAAATCATTTTAAAAGACAATAATATCTTTAATTGGTATTGGGGCTGAGGTCTCTACTTTCGTGATTTTTAAACCATTCCTGGATTCGTTTTCATTTTCAAGCTGTCTTCCTCGACTTAAGAAATGTGTATACCTCATGGTATTCTTGAGAACGTATCTGTACTTATCCTCATTACGAAAGAACCGTAGACGTTATATGCTTCCTCCACCGTACGTCCGAGTCAATTAAAAAATACTTTCATTAATTGTGCCACAAGATTTGATATACAATCTGTTCTCGCATCTCTTCTTTCTAAACAGATTGGTCGATGTCGCCGTCTGCTTTGAAAAATACTAATAAACGTTCTCGTCCAATTATAGTAAAGTTCCCGTGATATTGTTTTAAAAGTCGCAGCAATCTAAAGTGGGCTAAACTAGTAATTTAAAAGGACCTTGTTATAATTTAGCAAGTTTATGAAAAATTTGGAGAGATACAATGTTGAATAAGAGATGGAAGGATCTTAGCGAGGCACAACTATATGAAAGTTCTTCATTCATGATGTAAAATCTCTTGTTTAAAGAGCAAGGTAATCGAGTTCGATTATTATAATCGAACTCGATCTTAGATCTTTTCTTCTTAAAGAGAGGTTTAGGAAAAATGTTTCCCAATTATTGGGGGTGTTGGTGTACTATCTCTACACCATTTATACTACCTACTGCTTGTCAAATTTATCTTGGTCGGCCAATTGCGCAGAAGAAGGAAAGATAGGCGAACTCGTGACGACATTACCTTAACTTAATATTTATGGTTATGCGAGATTGAATTCAAAACTTCATAAGTTTGAAATTTGAATATTTGAAAAAAACACATTCAAAATTATAAATACTAAGTAAATTTGCTTTAAATTACTTTTTATTTCGTGATGATATCTCAATTCGTTCTTGAGATACGATATTTTAAATTTTTATTCTTAAAATCTACAATAATCAAATATACATACACTACAACTCTATATAGGGAAATTAAGAAATTATATATAGCACTTAGAATTTATATTAAATTAGCCTTAAAATGCTGTTCATTTTGTCATTAGATCTCAGTGGTGCTTGAGATGCGATATTTCAGTGGATGGAAACTGATTAATAAATATATAAGCGTTGAGCATCAACTCGTTGGCTGTCCCACTAACAACAACTCTTCAAATTGATTAACTTTATTTATTATCAAAAAGCTCATCTAATTTGAAAAGTACATTTTGCAAATAATAACATATTAAATATTTACATCTTATAAAGTTACCTAAATCTACAACCTCAGGCTACACTCTGAGCCTAAGGTGATGTAGAGTGGTTTTGATCTCTGCAAATATGTTGCCCTATAACGTTCAGATGTGTATATCCTTAGTATAAAGTCTGATTCCATTCTTCCTTGTATCCTGGTTTCTTAGTTTATATTTTATCTTATTTTCCTTTATAATGTTTGTAAACACATACGCTAATAATTTTAATGAGTACTGTACAGAGTGTCCCGTTAAGCGTACGGAGCGGCTGTATCTCTAGAACGGTAAGGCCTAGAGGTTTGGGAAAAAAATCCTTATAAGCAAAGTGGCCAAGAGAAATAGCTGGAAATTATTTTGAAGNTTCTACCAATGGAGAGCATGTTGTAAGAGACTGGCTAGTATACTCTGTTTCAAAAAACTGTATTTATTGCTTTTGCTGTAAAATTTTCGGCTGTGTAATCAGTTCTTTTTCAAAAGACGTTAAAAGAACACGAATTTTCAAAAATTATATTGAAGCTCACAAATCATGGCCGGAACTGAGTCAAAGACTAAAGTGTTGTAAAACTATAGATGCAACTGCTCAAAGAATTATTAATGCTGATACAAACCATTGGTATGAAGTGCTTCTAAGAATCGTAGGAATCATTAAAATGCTTGGTAAAAGTTGTCTGGCTTTTCAAGGTACAAGAGATAAACTATTTGAGCATAATAATGGTAACTTCCTAAAAATAGTTTAACTACTGTCTAAATTTCTTCCCATTATGGAAGAACACGTGCGAAGGGCACTGAAAAAAGAGGAGATAAAAGCCCACTATCTCGGTAAAAATATACAAAACGAGAAAATAGACTTGTTGCATCAAAATGTGAAGTCTCATATTATTAATGAAATAAAAAAGGCCAAATACTATTCTATAATTTTAGATTGCACTCCTGACATAAGTAAGGTGGAGCAAATGACTCTTATATTCCGATATGTTACAGTCAATAAATCTGATTTCAACGACGCTGAAATAAAAGTTTTTTGGGTTTTCTTCCCATTGAAAGGTCCACAGGAAAACAAATGACTGAAATAAAATATGGGTTTAAACTTGCAAGATGTTAGAGGACAGGGATATGATAATGGATGATCGAATATGAAAGGCGATAAAGCTGGAGTGCAATCTAGAATTAAGAATTTAAATTCACGAGCGTTTTACGTTCCGTGTAGCAGTCATTCTCTGAATCTAGTGGTTAATGATATGGCAAAAGCTTCTTCGGTAGCCGCTAATTTCTTCAATATAATCCAGAAACTATATTTTTTTTTTTCATCATCTACGTTTCGGTGGGCAATACTTTTGAAACATATTAAAGGATTAACTTTGAAACCATTGAGTGCCACTAGATGGGAGAGTAGGATAGAGGCCTTAAAGACTTTACAATTTCAAATAGGAGAAGAATACGACGCAACAAAAACTTGGTACAAAATCTTAAACTGCATTAATCCTATAAGCAAACTAATGCAAACAAAAGATTTTGATCTAGCATCTGCACTTAACCTCTTACAAAATTGCAAAAAAATCTATAAGGATCTTCGATCGGACAAGTCTTTCAATGAAAGTATAATTGATGCAAGAGAACTGGCTGCCGAAATTGACATTGAAGCTAATTTTGAATCAACAATTCCACGACACCGCATACAAAGAAAAAAAAATATTTTCTCATACGAATCTCGAGATGAACCGATTGAAGATCCCAAAGAAAAATATCAGTACAGTGTCAGCCAAAAAGTTTGTATCAATAAATTAGCTATATATTTTTGATAGCATAGCTCTATATGTTTGATTATTTGATGCAGACTTTTTGGAAGGCATGATATGTTTAAAGGGCGGTAGTTTGTCTTTTTGTCCGGGGTAACATAAACGGTAGGGAGGGCGCTGTTCAGATGTGTATATCCTTAGTATAAAGTCTGATGCCATTCCTCCTTATATCTTGGTTTCTTAGTTTATATTTTATCTTCCCTTATAATGTTTGTAAATACATACGCTAATAATTTTAATGAGTACTGTATAGGACACCTTGAAATATAACAGAAAAATGAGCTCCGCAGGTACCGGCCAAGATAGATTTGATGTACCTGTAACCATCTCTTTTACCTTTCGGCGAATCTTACGAAAAGTTGTGCAAGCTAAAAACAATTTTTTCAATTAAGTTAATTGTTACACTATCCTACCGGTCTAAAACCCTTCTTTCCATCTTGTACTGACAGTCATGGTAAACAATAAAATTATTTTCTTAATTTATTGCCTCTGCATACATGGTAATCCCCCTTCTCTGTTCCTCTCAACCCGAATCAATAGATTCCCTTCGGTAACTGAAGGTAAGGTTTTTGAAATCTTATGATTTTTTCTTCATGTTTTGTGGTGTCGAAAGTATCACTTAGGAATATCGCTCTTATAAAGAAAGTCCTTGAATCGATCTGCGGGACTTTATCTCTATCGTTCTTCGCATGTGCTTTGTTCTCTATGTTTGTTTACCTTGTATAGTTTGACTTTATTCTCTATTTGTATGTATTTGTTTCTGCAAAATGTTTGGTTGGGGTACCATGCCATCTTTAATGCTTTTATCACCTAGTTTTGCGCCTTCTTGCAAAGCTTGCTATCGCGTGAAATTTCCACTCCCCGATAGTTGAAGGTTCATGTTCCATAACTTTACCTTCCAGCTCCAAATTACATCTTCCAGGCTCCCTAGACCTCGTTAATGTTTAAGTTTTTTCTGTAGAAATCATCATATTGTATTTTTTAATGTTTTGTAAAATTTATTTAAGAGATTTTTGAGATCAGCTCCATTGTCTGCTATTAGTAGTGCATGGCCTACATAGCAGATTGCTCTTGTGATGCTCTATGTTATTTTATGTTGTTGAATGTGTTGGAAGTATGTGTTGTTTATTCTTAATTCATTTAAAGAGCAGAATTGTATTAGTTGTTCGCCCTCCTCATTATTAAAATCACTTACTATAAAAGTTGTGTTGTTTTTTTCTATTTATCAATATCAATTGTTTCTTACTTGGGTTTTATGCCATTCGATAAGTTAATGAACACATTCAGCATTCTTTCGTCCCCATATTGTATTATGTGGATAATACCTTTGTATTTCTTATATAGCAGTACCTACCCTACTCTACCTTGTGCACTTTCCTGCTTTGCCTTGGTAGGAAATTCCAGCACATAATCTTACCGTTTTCCTTCTTTTTGGTTTAAGTCGTACAGCACGTTCAGTTCTATCAAAATTTCCTGTGCTTTCGTGTTTGAAGATATGTTCCAATCTTATTTCCTTTCCATGCTATAGTCGTCTTATTTTGATTCGTGCGTTTCTGAGGCATGTTCGTTGTCCTTTCAACATATTAATGTCTTTTGTACTGGTGGTAGGTTGCTAGTCTTTCCACCAAACTCTTCTGCATAGTCCGGGTTTGAGACCAGTTATGGAAGTTACTGGGCTATTTGATCCAGCAAGTGCTTCCCTAAGGGAAGTAATCTACGATTTATATACTAAAATTACCAGGCGTCGACACACGTCATTAATTTCATTTTATCTCCGTTTATCGCCAGTTGGATGTTTGGTCTGTGGTTTCAAAGAATTATTTTCTTAATCTATGTCCTGAAAGTTTTTAGAAAATGCTTCGGATTATAGACGTCAAAATACGCTATCTAAAGTATATTCAAGTTATTAACACACCTTATCTTATATTCATCGACTTCGGAAAAATGTTTGTTGCAGTGAACAATAATTTTCAAGGTGAAGTTCGGAGGTTGCAGATTTATGGGTTGTATTTTTCCAAAAAGTGAATTCTTTTAATGACTATTATTGTTGTTATGCATTACTGACGGTCTATATACGTTTGAGCATGTGAACTAAAATTGATTGTCTTGTCATTCAAATAGTGTCCCAATGCGGAAATTAATAGGTTTCTAAATTTCCAATTCCGACAAGAACATAAACAACCCTTCGCTGAAATTCGTAGATATATGGACTAAAATATCTATTACCCCAAGCCAAAGTAGAACATTTAATGTGGGAATGAATGAGGACAAAATACACATTATTTATAACATCATTAATTAATTGTTTTAAAACGAGAAAATTGTTACTGATTTTGGAACCAATCATGTCCCGGCACAGGAAAAACTCGTAATTCACTATTTTCTTAAAATTAGGTCTTAATGTCATCACAAGTAAAAACTATGTCTGCAACAATTCTTATAACCCTTTTGTATTGCTACTTATTATATTTTATGAATTATTTGTATCTCCCGGCCTCCAGGGAGTCAGAAAGCGTTTTGGTAAAACACGTTTGTTTACATTTGCAGTTGTCAGTATTTCACTGAGGTACTAGCACCAAAAAATAGTGTATTCACGATGTACTACAAAACAAAACTAGCAGTTCACAATACTACATTCTTCCATGTGCAAGGTGGTTTTTGTTTCATCCGAAACAAATCAGAATGGAAATTACTAGGAGATGAATTTTCACCCATAATCCAAAAAGCAGTCATTCTTTGTAGTGATGGCTGTAATTATAAGAACCGTAATTTTTAATTGCGAAGCTAAATGAAATTACAGTATACATTACAATACAGTATAAGTAGGTACATAGATGTGCATAGTACTATTGAAAGAAAGTTGTATGGAACTAATATTTATGTCACGTTGTTATCTTGTAAAAGTTATCCTGTAAATCGTTATCTTGACTACAGTTTTTTGAATAACTAAACTTTTTCTCATATATCCGGCTTAGCATGCAAACTTGCGATGATCCCGGCGGATCTTTGCAATACAAGCTAAAATTTAGTGATTTCACCAAAGTGAGGTCACATTTACCTTGAATAAATAATAGAGTTGCAATCCGGTTCAAAAACTTGGAGGTAGGTTTTTATAAAATCTCTGTAACATTTGTGAAATTCATTTATCTCCAAGAATCATCAAACTGCTCAGTTTTTATGACACCATCCAGTTTTGCAAAATACTGAGCGGAGATTAGACACTATTCTTAGTATGTAAAATATTATTATTCTGTGTGTCGAACTTGATATTCAAGTGAACAGCTTGAACTTTAACTTGTTCGAAACAGCGAGGATAACAAAACGAATTACTTCAAAGTCGTCTAAAGTCGTCCTAACTGACTAGTTGGACAAGTTATAGATAAGGTGTTGCCTGAGAAAATGTTCCCACATGAAACAGTTTTTCTTGCGGTTTTTAACGTCTTCTATTAGCACATTGGAGCTAAACTTCAACATTTCATCTTTTGATGAAGTCTTCTTCTGACGACTGGGATAATCGAAATAAAACAACTTCATTTCCATTAGATCCGATATTGTTGGCCAAAACTTCTTGGTTAACATTCTTTTGCATTCAAGTTTTTTTGTGAATTGGTGCTGTGGATGGCCAAAAAATATAATTAAGATGATGACAAGGATTCCGGCATGGAAGTAACTTTCAATATCGTGGATATTGAAGTTATTTTGGAAATAACTTGGGGATCACACTGTATACCAAGCACATGATCTGAGAATATCTAAAGTGCATTACCATCAGGCATGTCATACTAAGTTGACCCGTACCATGGCGGGTCGGAAAATGGCGAATATATTCAGAGCAAATATTGATAAACGTTTTCGACGGTATAATATCATATGGATGTAAAGCGTAGATCAAACAAACTGACGTGGAACATTTTTCAACAGCTCATTTTAGTTCAATGAAGAGACGTTCTGCGAATTTCTGCTCTTACAGGAATTGTGTAGGTGTCAGTATTGAATTCGAATGACCTTTTGGCCACAGAAAGAAAGTAGATGAAAAATTCAATTAGGCAACTTTAAACAATTCAGCTTTTATTTGTTCTACATTTTCATTATTGAATGTGTTGTTCTATTTTTTTATTATAGTTGGTATTTATTATTGGTATTTTATTTTTTAGTAAATCACATTAAATTTTATTATTAATTGGGTGCCGTAAACTCTCCGCCATTGGTCTCTTAGTACTCAATGTTCGTAGATATGATGGTACTGGATCTATGATTTAATCTAATGAGTGTAAAATTTTCAGATAACAGTTTTTCTCAATTATGATAAATGCTCCAAGTTTATTTTTATTATTATGATTAATGATTAAATTCTTGTTTGATAGATAAATAATGCGTCTTATAAACAAGTCCATAAACTATGTTTTATTTTTGATTTCATCCTTTTATTTTGTTGTTTTCTATGTTTATTTAAGCATTCATTAATACTATTTCTATTCATCTGACTGTCACTTGGCTTTTTAATATTAAAGAATGCAGCTTTACTGGATTTAATCGCTGCTTGTTTGTTTTCAATACCATAAATAAATAAACATTTGAAGACAAATATATCGAGAATGACTACATAATATATGACCGCACTAATCCTGAATAAATAAAATCGACGTTGTTTTGCAGTTTTAATTGGATTTAAATATTAACGATGCATATCGTATCCATTTTTATCGATGGTATTCGTGTTATTAAGCAAAATTTATTGAGAATTACATTTTGTAAACAAATTTGATGTTTTTATTTCAATTTGAATATAGATAATGTATTTTTACTTCTTGTTATTATTTTTCCTTTTTGCAAAATGTTAAAATCATTTCTCATTTATTTAAAATTTAAGTTCTAAGGCGATTCATCGTGTTGATATTAATATGCATTACGTTTTTATAAACTATTTGGGGTTTGGAAATAGGTTAATTTGAATTCTCTATTTAAATTGGTTAATTTTCAAGTTATTAGAAGTATCTCATGATACAAAAACATAAAAGTACCAAATTATAATTAAAACTGTGTAACTTTGTATAGATTTCATAGTTTATGACTCACTCTTAAAGGTTTAAAAAAATGCTTGTGAATTTAATTTTTGGAATGTTTTATAATTTGTGTTTGAAAAAAAAATTATTTTTATTAACTATTTCTATTAATCTTGTTTGCTTCTTTTTTTGCAGATGATGAAGGAATTGCTGAATCAGGAATGTGATCATTAAAAAATTCCACTTTTGGGTTATTATGTCATTTCAAAGCTATTCAAACTTTTTGTTCTCTTAGTTATTAGACCATCATTTTTTATTTTTATTTTTAAGGATTTTCGTACTTATTTTATTATTGTACTTAAGGTATTCCGACAGTATTTAATTTTATATTGCAAGAGAAATCTGAGGTTTATTTTTCATATCGTACTTTCAATGATTAATTTTAATATTTTTTTTTCGTTTGTTTTGTGATTGTAAAAATTGCAATTTATGTAATTACTGAATTGCTGTTTAAATTGTAATAAATGATCAATTTATGTTTATATTCTGTGATAAAAAGAGGAAACAAATTTGGTGGAATTTTTGTGGAATTTTTAATTTACTTTTTTTTATTTTTATGTGAATGTCATAAGAATATTTTTTCATTTGTACAAAATTATAATAAAAAACTTAAATTGATAAGGAAACGTTGGTTATTTTATTTAAATTTAAGATACAAAATCCTTTGCAAATTGTAAATTTTAATTACATTTATTTTAAAATGTATGTTTGGTGTAAAAATCAATCTTAGTAGTCATTGAAGGAAAGCTATAATGATGAAAAGAGTATATATATTATGTTGAAAGTCTCTTCAATGACGCACAGCCTCAGCGACCATCCTAAGGTGATGACCGTAATGAGTATCATGGTATAAGAATTCAAGGTATAACCATACGCAGATTGTGATGGCGTTTGAGAGCCAATAGCAGGTGCGCTAATTTAAAATTTTTAGTTAAATTGAAAACTGAAAGATTACGTGATGTGAATACAATGATTACAGTGCCTAACTCTCTTCTCCCTTGGAGGCTCGAGGTGGTATGAGAAAGATCATCTCTAGGTGACGAAATCCTTATTAACGCACTGGAAGTATTTGTAAAGAAATTAGACGAACTAAACGTTGATAATAAAAGTAACAGTCACTGAGAGATGATGAAATGGATGAGAAAACCGGAAGAGAAATCAGACCGCATTTTAAAAATTGTTAAAGGTCAGATCGAAGGCCTGAACACCAACGAATGGGAAGTGCTCAAAAGGACCCTTCTGTAGAGAGCCTTAAAAAAGCTAACTATAAGGTTAGCTACAAGTTCGGGTAAATCACCCCGAGGCAAAAGAGCGGCAAGCCTACGCCACAGAAGGTAGAACCCGAACCAACACCAGGAACTTCCGGAACCGCCAAGGACCCCAAGAAGGGTACAGGTAAGGTTAGTTCCGAAAAAAAGGGTAAGGGCAAAACTGCAGCTCCCAAAATTGCACCCACCAAGCAATAATGGCGGGAATAGGCTTCATCCAAGCCAACATCCAGCACTGTAAAAGCGCCTCCGACGTGCTGGTCAAGGGATTCCACAGCCCCAACATACATGTTACGCTGATCCAAGAGCCATATGTATATGGAGGAATAGTCAGAAGACTATCAACAAAAGCAGGTAAGTTAATGTATAACAGAGGAGAGTGCCCTGCGAGAGCAGTTATACTCGCTAAATCCTCTCTAAACTGCCTACCTTTAACCCAATTTATCTCTAGGGACCTCGTTGCAATATCAGCGGTACTGTTGACGCCGGGAGGTAAGCAAAAGGCGATTATAGCCCCGGCATACTTCCCCGGTGAATCGGACGATCCACCGCCACAGGAGGTGAAAGACCTCATAGACTACTGCAATGAGAGGGGGAAACAACTCCTCCTGGGCTGCGATGCGAACGCACACCATCTCACATGGAACAGCTCAGACACACACAAAAGAGATGAGTACTTTTACCAATACTTACAAAGTACAAATTTAGATATCCTCAACAGAGGTAACGAACCGACTTTTGTTACCAAGGGTTGACAAGAGGTGCTAGACATAAGCCTAGCCACGCCTCGTCTCAGTTCGCAAACTGGCATGTTTCACGTGAAATCACTTTAGCGGATCACAAGCATATTCGCTTTGTCATTGTAGCAGACCTGACAAAACAAACAGAATTCAGAATCCCCTCACTAACTGATTGGTGCACTTTTTGTAGACACATCAGCGAAGAGATCGACGAAATCAAAATAAACATTTAAAGCAGAGAGGATCTCGAAATAGCCTCTTTTCAACTAAACAATCTCATACATAGTGCGTATGAATCAAGCTGTACAATAAAACACAAAAGACCAGAATCCAATGTGCTTTGGTGGAATAAGGACCTTGAAAAACAGCGAGTCATTGTTAGAAGACTATATAATAAAGTCAGGAATTCCAAACTCGAGCAAACATGGGACCTCTATAGGAAAGCAAAAAGAAAAACCTGGCGCAGCTTCTGTGAAGGCATAGATAATACGCCTACAGTTGCTCGTCTGCATAAGATCTTGGCAAAAGATCACAACACTGATCTAGACCATCTATGCAAACAAGATGGTAAATAGAAGTAAAATTAGAACTAAAACTAGAACTAACACTAGAAACCTTCGGGTTTTGCCGTTCGTCTTTTAAGTTTCGGACGTTTCGGATGCCATGTTACAACCTTCTTCAGAAACTGGTTCGAAGTGAAAGCCTTCGTACTTATAAGATGGTAAATACATTAACACTTTCCTTCCTCAAAAGTCTGCCCCCGTGTAGATGCCGACGCTGAAGTAATGGACATAACCCGTCCATCAGGTAGGGTTCGCAGCATAGCTGGGAACATTTTTACACCCAACAGAGTAAGGTGGGCTATTTCTAATTTCAAGCCCCTAAAATCGCCTGGAGGAGATGGAATTCTGCCTATTTTTCTGCAGAAAGGCTTAGAAGACCTTCTCCCAGTAATAATATCCCTATATATAGCTAGCTACAGCTTTAGCTATATACCCACTCTATGGAGGAAAGTAAAGGTGGTCTTCATACCTAAAGGTGGTAGGCGTTCAAACGCGGACCCCAAGGCGTACAGACCAATTAGCCTAACTTCATTTCTCCTCAAAGGGATGGAAAAGGTAATCGATCAATACCTAAGGAATGGAGTGCTTCTCACAAATCCACTCCACCCTAGCCAACATGCTTACCAGAAAGCAAAATCAACAATTACCGCTCTCCATGCTTTGACTAGCACCTTAGAGGAGGCAATTGCAACCAAAGAGATAGCCCTTTGTGCTTTCATAGATATAGAGGGTGCGTTTGATAACACCTCATATGAATCCATAGAGAAGGCTTTAAACGTAAAAGACATACATCCGTCGACAATCAAGTGGTGTATAGCCATGTTGAAAAGTCGGCAGATCACAGCCAGTCTGGGAGGCGAGTCGCTGACTATAAAGGCGCTAAGAGGATGTCCCCAAGGGGGAGTGCTATCACCTCTATTATGGTGCCTGGTAGTTGATGACTTGATGAACA